GCCGTTTCGATTTCTCCCAGCTGGAGAAGGTTTTCGTGTGGGGCAAGCTCGTGTATATGCCTCAGGAGCTCGTGTGGTGTGGGCGTGAGATCAACCAGTGCCACGACGGCCGAGTCGTCATCACTCAGAAGGAGTACGTCAAGGGTTTAGAGGTTCGCCGCATCCCACCCAGCCGCATCCGAGAGGGAGGTTCCCTTACACCCGCAGAACGGACCGAGATGCGGAGCTGTATTGGATGCGGTCAGTGGTTTTCGGGTATATGCCGTCCGGATGTTTCGTCATACGTATCGACGTTGCAGAGCGAGGGCCCCCAGATTTCCGATCTTAAGGCGATGTACAAAACCATAGATCACCTGAAGAACACGCCAGAGGTTGGGATTACGACGATGCCGTTGCAGTTGTTTAACGATTCCGGATATATCGACGTGATTACGGTTGCGCACGGTGACTTGAGTTGGGCCAGCGCGCAGCAGATGAAGAGCCAGACCGGAGCGATGATCGTTTGGGCCAATCGAGATGCACTCTCAGGGTCAGCACCTGCCTCGTTGGCCGATTGGAGGAGCGCGAGGACACAACGCCTAGTGAGGTCCACCTTGTCAGCGGAGGCTTGTGCCGCTGACGCAGCCGTTGATAGAGGATGTTATGCTTCTGTGTTTTGTCAGAGGTTTTAACAGGCCGTTCATATATAGCCAACCGCATGGCTGACCGCACGCCGCCTAGTGTGCCGCTCTATGCTATCACGGATTGTAAGAGTTTGTACGACTGTGTTACTCAAGAGAACCCCAGCTTGGATGAAAAGCGGGCGCTTCTCGATGTTCTTTCTATCCAGACCCGTCTTGGTCTAGGTTCGATGAGGTGGGTCCCAACCTCTAACATGATAGCCGACCCCCTCACGAAAGTGTCCGATCAGTTGCGCGACAGTTTAGTTCAGTGGCTCCGCGAGCCCGCCATCGATTTGTTTGGAGCCGTTGCCGAATCAGTATCAGCTTTTGCGTGATTTCTATTTCTGCCTTCAGACGTCTCTCGGAGTTTTCAGCCAGCAGAAGAGAGAGACCAGTCTGAAACAGTAACTGTTTTAGCATGCCAGCCTTGTCTGCAAACTCCCACTAGACACCCTTTTAGCCTCGAGAGGCCCCGAGTGCGTTTCAGCTTCTACAGGTTCTGCAGTTTCAGCTTGCATATTTGCCCCTCTCAGGTTTGTGCCGTTGCATGGCCGTTTCGTTCAAACCAGCTTGAGGGGCCCCTCTTGTAGAGCCGCCAGCCGGCGACATCAGACAGATATCTCAACATATAAAGATCCACAGGCAAGCCTATTATACAACAGTCAGATCAGCGATCTGAGAGTGCCGGGCTCGAGGCCCGAATCATTATTCCGCTCCCGCCGGGAGCTACATACGCAGGACTGAAGGCCGTGGCCACGCTCCGCTCGCGGCAGCGAGAAGAAATCCGATCACAGGTTTCACCCTTGCACTTGCCGGCTTTCCAGTATCGATCCTTGGTGGACTCGTTGAGCCCGGTTTCGATTCTTTGATCGCTCGAGCGGTGTTCGCCCTGGCTGCGCGCAAACGAAAACAAAGTGTGTATGTGTGTATGTGTGTGCCACCTGTCCTCCGACTCTACCTCCCTACCCAACTTGGCGTTCTCGTATGTGTTGTTCCTGCTTCAGTTTCCTGAAAACCCTTGCTCTTTGCTTTTTAGCGCTCGGCTATGCCCGCTTCCCTCTGGCACCCACAGCTGTGCTCAAGCTCCCACACAAGTTGATCAATCGACTTGGCGCGTGACTCTCCTGTTGTTATCGTTGTTGAGTTCTCATGTTTAAGGAATAGTCGTTGGTGATCCCACCTCTGGTGCACATTGCACTTTTGAATTGGAGTGCCCCTCCCGGAGCTCACACCTTGTGTCTTGTAAGGAAGAGTATTGGGCCTCAGAGTGGGTGTCGCCCCCGAGTTTCGACACCAGCGGTTCCCGCTTGAAACTTCCTCGCAGTTATGAAAAGATCGGTCTTTCGTTGGATACTTCCTCGTGGTAGTTTGCCCCAGAACCGCGATCTCGTCTAAGAGTTCCTTACAATGCATACACGAATCAATCTTTCGGCGCCCTGTAATCGCGCTCTCGCTCAGGACATCCTCATCATTGACTCAGGAACAGCGCTCTCGCCAAAGACTTCCCTGCCATCCCCTCTTGCTAGTCCCGCTTGCTGATCCCTCCCGTCTTCCATCTTAACCCTTCCTCTTGCCCCTCCCTCATCCCAACCATCCTGTGGTGTTGGGTCCTCGTTTTGAAAAGACAGCGCCCCGCTTTCGTTTTTTCCTCCTTTCCTCCTCCCCTCCCTCCTCCCTCCTCCCCTCCCTGCCTCTGCCCTCCGAATGTCCATCCCGTTTCAGCACCCCTTCACGGGGCCGTTGCCCCATAGGGACCTCCACCGAAGGCCCCAGTGGCTGCGCCCGCGTGGCACCACCGAACCCATTTTCCGCACACCCCTCACACGTTTCGTGGCCCCATAGGGACCTCCACCGAAGGCCCCAGTGGCTGCGCCCGCGTGGCACCACCGAACCCATTTTCCGCACACCCCTCACACGTTTCGTGGCCCCATAACGACGTCCACCGAAGGCCAAATGGCTGCGTTCGCATGGCACCACCGCACCCATTTCGGCACACCACTCAAACATTTCGTGGCCTCAAAGGGAGCTCCACCGAAGGCCGAAGTCGTTGCGCCCACATGGCGCCACCGCACCCATGTCGGCACACCCCTCACAGGCTTATTGGTTCCATGAGGACGCATGGCACCACCGCACCTTTTTGTCTCTCGCACCCATGAAAAGTTTCGTGGCCTCAAAGGGAGCTCCACCGAAGGCCGAAGTCGTTGCACCCGCATGGCACCACCGCATCCATTTCGACACACCCCTCGCACGCTTCGGAGCCCCATAGGGAGCTCCACCGAAGGCCCCAGTGGCTGCGCTTGAATGTCGCAAGGCACCACCGCGCCGTTTCGGCACCCCCTTCATGGGGCCCCATGAAGACCTCCACGGAAGGCTGAAGTCATTGCGCCCGCATGGCACCACCGCACCCATTTCGGCACACCCCTCACACGCTTCGTGGTCCCAGGACCTTCCACCGGAGGCCAAGTGGCTGCGTTCGCATGGCACCACCGCACCCATTTCGGCACACCCCTCATGCGTTTCGTGGCCCCAAAGGGAGCTCCACCCAAGGCCGAAGTCGTTGCGCCTACATAGCACCACCGCATCTATTTCGGCACACCCCTCACACGTTTCGGAGCCCCATAGGGAGCTCCACCGAAGGCCCCAGTGCCTGCGCTCGCATGGCACCACCGCGCCGTTTTCAGCACACCATTCACACGATTCGTGGCCCTATTGGGAGCTCCGCCGAAGGCCCCAGTGGCTGCGCCCGCATGCCACCACCGCACCCATTTCGGCACACCCCTCAAAAGTTTCGTGCCCCCATAGGGAGCTCCACCGAAGGCTTAAGTCGCTGCGCCCGCATGGCACCACCGCGCCCATTTCGGCACACCCCTCACACGGTTCGTGGCCCCATAAGGACTTCTACCGAAGGCTTCGTGGCCCCATAAAGACCTCCACCGAAGGCCCCAGTGGCTGCGCCCGCATGGCACCACCGCGCCCATTTCGTCACATCCCTCACACGGTTCGTGGCCCCGTAAGGACCTCCACGGAAGGCCAAATGGTTGCGTTCGCATGGCACCACCGCGCCCATTTCGGCACACCCCTCAAAAGTTTCGTTGCCTCAAAGGGAGCTCCACCGAAGACCGAAGTCGTTGCGCCCGCATGGCACCACCGCACCCATTTCGGCACACCCCTCACACGTTCCGTGGCTTCATAGTGAGCTCGACCGAAGAGGATACTTTCGCACTTCCGCGGTATCACAGCTGCATATGGTTGGTTGTTTCGGCAGGATAATTCAGAGCTGCGCCAGGTACATGCGGGAGGGAAGGAACACATACCACCGGGGTACGATCAGAGACGATGGGGGCAGGTATCGAGGGTTTAGGGAGATACATGTTGAATGGCACGCGAGCGTATGAGAACGAACAGTCTTAACATGATTGTTTGTTGGCGTTGGTGTTGGTGCTGTTGCTGTTATTGTTGCTTTGTTTGTGCGTGTGACATACCCAGCCGTCGGATCGCGTTGTTGGTGGCCTTTCTCTTCGGCCGCGGGCCTTGGGTTCGGAAACTCGACCGCAGTAGTGGCACGCGGTGCACTGGCTCAGGTGTCGCCTGCTTACTAGCCACCTCTCCTTCGTCGTCGTCCTTCCTCCTTCTCGGTGCTGGGTGTGTTCTTCTCAGCCTTGTTGCCCTTCTCGGCTTCTCTTGGTGCACGCCTCGGTCCGCTGCGGGTTCGCCGCTCGCTCGCCAGGCCTCTCGCTGGCGTCGGCGCCATTCTGGACTGCCGTCCAGCCCCCTTGTTTCGCCAACCCTTCTCGCTCTCCTGCTTGCCTGCTTTGGAGTTTTTCTTTGATTCTTTCCCGTGCCAATCGTTTTTGCGTTTTAATCTCCCAGGACAACCGTTTTGCCCACGCTCCCTCCAAAGGTTGTAAATTAGCTTTGGGCGCGTCCCGCCATCGCTGTCCCGTCGACTGGAGTCCTCGGTCGGAGGGAAAAGTGTGTATGTGTATGTGTGTGGGTGTGGCGCACGTCTTCACACAAGGTGGCCAATTCATTGTCAGCGAGAAGTTGTGTCACCGCTTAATGTTGTCATCGCCGCGTTGGAGGGAAACAAGGTTTGAGTGCACCCTCTTGTGCGCGTATGCTGGTACGGTGTTTCGCGACTGTGGTGTCACATCGTCGGCTGAGGAGAGGTAGTGGATGCGCCCGCTTGAGCGCGTATGCTGTTACGCGAGTTCGCGCACGTGTGCTGCCTGCGGAATGGCAGGGGGAGAGGTGAGAAATACGATTCCCCTGGGAGGAATGGGACGAGATGGATTGAATCCGCAAACCAGCTGCAGAAACGCCATAACGGGTGGCCAGGTGGCGCGCAGCTGGTGCGCGCGAGCTCCGGGTACGACGTCGCCCCGGGCAAGGGCGGTCTGTTCGAGGCCCCGGGAGCCCAGCAGCTGCCGAACCCGAGGAGTCAAAGTCGCGTCGTGAAAGATAGCGACGGGAGGTTTTGGGTGCAACTTTCAGCCTCCTTGGGGCCTTTTTGGGCCCATGGCCGTGAAAGAAACTATTCGGGATGAACATCAGTCCCAGGGAAGGGGTCGAGATGTCTGGGGGTTCCACGTCATGAATCAAGTCGTAACGCCAGGAGTCTGGGGAGACATGAGAGAGGGGAGAGGGGAATAGAGAGAGTAGAGCGGCGATGGGCAAGCCAGGCGGGCTCGGCTCGGATCACCCTTGTCACTCTCCCCCCTCTCCCAGCCATATCTTCCTATGGTTGTCACCTCCGTATACCTGGTGCGGAGAAGGGTGAGAGACAGGATGGGGACGAGGAGGATAATGCGGAGGACGAGGAGTGGAGGTCAAGGAGGAGTAGGACGAGGACGAGGAGGAGGAGGAGGAGGAGGGAGACGAGGAGGAAGGATAAGGAGAAGGGAAGGAGGAGAAGGATGATAGGATCAGAAGGAGGAGCAGGAGGGGTAGGAAAAGGTGAAGGAAGAGGAGGCGGCGCAGGTGATGACACCTTTCTTTTGAAAGTGATTGCAGTGATGGCAGTGAAGGAGGAAGAAGAGGAGGAGGAGGAGGAGGAGGAGGAGGAGGAGGATATCGACTCCCCATGCATAGGTAATGCTGTCTTTCCCCGAATAGCAGCTGAGTTTTTTCGGAGGTCATCTCGCACCTCTGTTCCCTCTTCCCTCCATCCCTCCCACCCTCCTTCCTTAGGTACCCCTCTCCCCTCTCTTGACGAAATATAGCAAGCATAATCTTTTGGAGGTCCTGGCGCATTTCTCGGGTCTGCGCTGGACCCTATTTGCGGCGCCTCCGGCGCCTCCCCTGGCGCGCTGAACGCGGACATCCGAAAGTTTGTGATCCTGCCGCTTCTTGCCCGCCTGTGCCCTCCACTCCCTCCGTCCTGCAGGGGGTGGCCTCCACGTTGACTGCGTCCTCTGCGCCGGCGCGGACGCTGAAGGGCATGCAGGAGTTCGGCCAGGAGCCGCCCGGGCCCCTCCGCGAGCGCTCCCCAGCTCGGGCCCCAGCCCGCTGAACCGCCCGAGATGGCCTGTGGGTCCCTTCTGCCTCCTCCTCCCAATCACCGAGTCTTCTCCCCATCACGACGTCGACGTCTTCGTTTCGGACGTTTCTGGACGATTCTGGGGGTTCTCATCGCCACGGCTGGACGCAGCTCGAAGAACTGGTCAATATGGACCCTGGGAGGGTCGAACACAGATGATGCGCGGATTGTGCTCCTTGACTTTGGGTGGAGTGATGAGGGCCATCAGAAATCTACCCTGGGCTAGAATCCGGCACCAGGGAAGGGTCAACATATCTCGAGCCCGCGGACCGAAACATCCATCACGCGGATGTCTTTGTCCGCCTGCCCTCTTCTCCCCCGCCTCCCGCTTCCCCCCCTCTCCCAGTCCTACGCCCCCCCCGCCCCTCCCGCCTCCCCTCCTCTCCTCCTCTCCTCCCACCTGCTCTCCTGTTTCTGCCTGCTCCCCTCCTTTCTGCCCCCAGCCTCCTCCCCCCCAATGCCACAGTGTCTGCGTAAGCTGGCTTGGGCGGAGGGTTAATGGTTAGGGGTTAGGCTTCCCCGGGCATTGAGAAGGGATGGAAGCGGGATGGGTTATGATGGTCGGGGCACAGGCCGATGTGGAACGATCTATGTGGTGTTGGGCATTCTAAACAGAACGTTGAGGGGCGATTTAGCAATTCGACCGACGACGGATTGAGCGCAGACATTTGCGTCATCCATCTCCATATCCGTTTCAGTTCAGCACTCTGGGTGGCGACTGTTCGAGGAGCGCGCAGGAGGCCGTCGCGCGTGATACCTCGTGTGGCCAATGCTTCGGGGAGCCATAACATGTGTTAGGGTGCTCGGCGTCGTGTTGGAGTGCTTCTCCTCTTGTTCGTCGTTGTCTTCCCACCCTCTTCTTTTCCTCTTCTCTTGCGGCCTATTCGGGGGCATGCTTCGGAGGTGTTCTTGGGCAGTCTGGCACCTGTGAGACCGTCTTGGGGACCTCTCTGAGCCGTCTTAGGACCCTGACGGGCCGTCTGCGGGGTCTCCTGGGCCGCCTCGGGGCCTCCTTGGACCGCCTTGAAGCCTGAGGACCTCTCGGGCTACGGGCATCCTGGGCCGCCCTGTAGGCCTCTTGGGGCTGACGGAAGTCAGAGAAATTGCGACGTCTCAGGAGAGGTCGACGGCGATGATGACGACGACGACGACGACAGCGACAGCGACAGCGACAGTGACAACGAGCTTCTTGTCGTCTTGTTGCAGATCTCTTGGCGTTTCCAGAGGCTCTCGTCACCACGGCAGGACGCGGCTCGGAAAAAATAGCCAGGACGCGTTCTGAGAAGGACGGGTTGTGAGCGGATTCCCGTCCGACGGCGGCGCCAACGGCAACGACGGATGGCGACGGGGGAGCCGGGACCGCGGCCACCGCAGGAGTACGCGGCCAGCCTCGGGGTGCCCGCAGGCCAGGTGCGCTTCTGAGGGCTGCGCGTTCGAGCGCCGGGCGCCGGACGCTTCAGAGCGCCGCGCCGCGAGCGGGCCTGGCACGCCTCTCGCTCGCGCTCCTTGGCAATCCCTATCCTGGTTCGTCTCGCGGCTCCCAAGGGGTCCCAGAACGGCGCGGGTACCACACCGTCCAGTGAGTTCGAGCGAGAAGTAGCGAAAACATAGGCCTCTGCAGGTCCGCACGGACCCCCGTGGTGCCGCCTAAAGCGCCGGAAGGAGGCATGGCTGAGGAGGGGGGGGGAAGGCGGCGGCGGAGGAGAAGGAGGAAGAGACGAACAACGAGATGAGGATAGGGAGAAACAATGAGGGATCTGTGCTGGCATTTGGAGTCCACGCTGCGGCGGCGCCTCGCTGGGCCGCCCCCAGCCCCAGGGCAACCAGCTGCGTCCCTGTGCAACAAGCTACATGAGCTTGCGTCTTCGGAGGTTCACGCGGATTTCTTGGGTCGGCGCGAACCATGGAAATTCAGTATTCGTGTTTGGTTTTGGTGCTCTATGGGTCAACCGTGACTCGGGGGCAGTGGACAACTTTGGACTTGGATCGCTCTCCGAGGATGTCTCGAGCGCATGAGGCCTCCAAAGTCCTGAAGCCGTCCCGTCCAGGACCGTCTGGTGGGGTTTTCGGGATCTCGCTGGCATCAGATCGTCGGTGACCAGACGGGTTTAGAGCACATCATCTTTGAGCAGGCAAAAGTCGAGCAGGCCCAGAAAGAAGATGACTCGTTCAAGAGCGTTCCAGAATGCTCAGAGGGTTTCACATCGCTCTAGAATGGCCGCGGCGCCAAGTACATCTTCCATACCTGTACGACCATCCATCGGGTGATAAGGAGGTTGGGTGGGGTGGACCAACTGATGACAACTGCGCTGGGACACCATTAGGGCACCCTGGGGACAAACAAATGCCCCCATAGGGACACCATCAGGACACCATTGCGGTCAATCCGTACATTATTTGTCAATCGATCTCACGATTGGCCCCACTACAGGTCTCGCTGTCGACCTCACTTTCGGTCACACTATCTTTGAACTCCGTTCTGCTGCCCTGCTGCAGTCCAGAGTGAGCGCAGCCCCTTTTGCTCCGACCAGCGTGCCAGCAGGCTCACGAGTCTCGGGCGCGGGCCGCCCGAGAGGCAGTAAAACCTCGGGCCCCAGGCTTGGGCCCACAGTGGTTGCGGGAGCACGGGAGAGGGGCAGAGGGAGAGCAAAGAGGAAAGGGATAGGCGGGTTGAGGCGAGCCTGGAAATCTTCACACGCCCTCAAAAGGAGACGCCGAAAACCGCCTGGCTGGCACCTCAATCTGCGATGTCCCGCATCTCATTCGCTCTCACGAGTTTGTCCTTCTGCCTCTTCTCCGTCTTCCTAGTGTCGATGGCGGTCTTGCGGCTAGCACGCTGCATACTCTTCTTCATCTTGATCGCCGCCGCCGCCGGATCCTGCACCAGGCTCCACTTGGCCTCCCGCAGCACCTTGTAGAGGTAGACCTTGTCCACCCCCAGCTTCGTCAGCACATCTGCGATGTTCTGCGAGCCGTCGATCCACCTGAGGTGGGTGTTCTCGCAGCGCAGCATCTCTCTGAGCAAGGCGCCCTCGATCGCCATCCTCTTGTCCTTGCTCTTGGTCGAGCCCTCCTTTGTGAGGTGGTCGTAGACGGACTTTGCGTCTGTCGCCCAAAAGCGGGGAAGCCGCTGCACCTCCCCCTGCCAGTTGAGCAAATCCACCGAGACGTTCATCGCCTCTCTGAACAGCACTGCCGCCCAGTCGACGGCCTCCACTGCGTCCGCCAGGTGACTGGCCTCCGCTGCCAAGGTTGAGCGGCACACACGCTGCGTCATGCCACTCTTCCAGTCCAGCACTGCCACCGGTGCCTGGTGTCCGGCCAGGATGCCGTCGGTCGTGAGGAGCACCACGTGGCCACCGCAACTCTTGTAGCGCTCGATGTCGTCGTGCTCGGGGCCGTTCGCGTGACCCGCGTCCACGGCCGCGCCAATCACAGCGCTGGACAGCCTCAAGTTGGCCGGGTAGACCAGCGCGACCTCAGCGCCCTTCTTGGCCTCAGACACCGCCAGGTTCGCCTTCACCAGGTCCGCCACACACGGGGCAGCTCGGGCCCTCTGCAGCTCGCCCGAGAGGAAGGCCAGGTCGAGTCGGCACTGTCGACCTAGCCAGCCGATCTCACCAGATACCCTCAGCAGCTCCTTCGCCTCATCCTCGTTCAAGTCCTCCTGCAGCTGCTTCCTTCGACCTGCTGGGATCTTGATCGGCTTGAGGGAAGTTGCGTAGTTCACCATCTTAACCAGAAAACCTCTCGGATCACTCGAAAGCTCACGGCCGCGGAAGGTGAAGGGCAGCTCGCTCCACTTCCACTGGAACGTACCCAGGACCTTCGGCAAGAGGTCCGACAGCTGCATGTCCTTCATCCTCGCCACCAGCACGTCGTCAACGTGCGAGACCGCGATGCCCTTCAGCTGCCCGTCCACGCGCTTGTAGAAGAGCGCCGGCTCCAGGCGCGACTGAAGCCAGCCGTCGGACAGCAAGGCGTCACGCAGCGCTAGCCAGAATAGCCTTGCTGCCTCCGCGAAGCCGTAGATGGCCTTGCGGGCCCTCGGCAACTGGCCCGGGGCAAGGCCAGGCAGGCCTCCTCGAGGCTGCTCCAGGTAGACCTCGCGCTCCAGGTTCTGCCCATTGAAGTAGGCGTTCTTGACGTCGCCCAGGGAGAGGATCATGCCCATAGCCGCCGCCAGTGTCAGGAGCAGCGCCTCCGCCAGCCGTGAGGCAGTGGGAGCGTCCCGCCTGAACATACCCAGCAAGCGGTCGCGAAAGCCCACCACGACCAGGCGACTCTTCGCGAGCAGCGGCAGAGGGGCTCCGGCCTCATCGTACTTACCGTCGTTCTTGTCGGTATCCACCCAGCGCATCGGGATGATGATGTTGGCCTTGTCCGCGCGGAGCGCCTCGCTCTCATCCGGCGGGATCGGCTCTGCCGCGTCAAAGTCCTGCCAGGATCGCCACTCTGCATCACGGCTGCCACCTCGATCCATGAACATCCGGCGTTGCTCCTCAGGCAAGCTGCCGAGCTTGATCTCCTTCCTCCCAGGCTTCTTCGTCAGGAAAGCGTGCTCGAACTCATTCCGTATCAGCCCGAAGATGAACTCCTCCTTGCCGATGCCCTCCTGGATAAAGAAAGCCTCGTCCTGCTGGTACGTCTCCAAGCCGGCCTCCATGAACTCATCCAGGTCATTGTCCAGCACGAACTTAGCCGAATCGGCAGGCGCCGAGAGGCTGGATCCTGCAGTCCCCTGTCGGATCGAGACAGGGACATCGTCCAGCAGGCGCCGTCGCTTGGCCTCCCGCTCGCGGCGCTCCTCAGTCTCCTCTTCCTCCAGGAGACTCCCAGGACGCCGATGCCGAGAGGCCCCCGGCTCGGGCTCCGTGTGCACCCCGTGGGAGTCGGGGTGCCAGTCGTCGTCGCCGTCGTCCCTCATGATCTCCTGCATCGCCGCGTCGAACTCCATCGCGTCGAAGTCCAGGTCGGGCGGCACGGGCACGTCCTCAGCCCCCACAGCTGGGGCTGGGGCCGCGGGTGGCTCGGGCGCGGCTGGAGCCGCGCGGGGAGCCTCCGCCTCAGGCGGGGCCGGAGGCGCCTCCGGCTCAGGCGGAGCCGAGGCAGGCTGCTGCTCCTCCGGCACCTCCGCCCGCGGCCCGACGTCCATGCCGCTCTCGTCGCCCTGCTCAGCGGGCTCCTGCCCCGCCGCGGCGGGGGGCTTGGGCCGGCCTCGCAGGTCCACGAAGCCGCTGCCACCGCTGACGGGCGCATCGAGCACCAACTCCTGCTCCTGCGCAATTGATCTCCAGGCATGGATCTCGTGGCCAGTCGCTGCAGCCAGGTGCTCCGGGCTCGCGAGCACGGTGAGGCCACGGAAAGCAAGCCACACTCCATGCCGTCCCTCATGTCCGATCACGCGCGCCAGCCCTCGCCAGTTGTCTGGATGCTCAGGCCGATGCTTGGCTGGCTGCGCTTGGTCGTAGAAAAGCATCCACTGGCCGACAACGAACGGTCCTCTCGTCGGTCGTATCTGTCGAAGCTCCGCTCGTCGAAGTCGATCCTCCGTGTCGGTCTGGATGAAAGCCATCCGGCACTGGGTCCTGATCTCCACCTTGCGGGCAAAACGCGAGCCCGGCGTAGCAGCTGCCACCTGCTCGCCCACACGCTCCACCTCGGCGTCGTCCGCGAGGCTCGCCGGTAGACGAACATCCCGGCCGAGGACCCAGAGGTAGGGGCTGAAGCCAGCCCGTCGGGCCAGCGTGTTCTTGGCCCTGTTGCACTCCGTCACTGCCGTCCTCATCTCCTCAAGGCCCGCCACCTGCTTGTCGTGCACCACCCTCGTGAGCATCGAGTTCCAGATGCCATCGTGGCGCTCCATCTTGCCGATGTGCCACGGCGAGGCCAGAGCGGCCGTGTCCAGGCGCACGCCCTCCTGTTCCAGGTAATCCGCGAACTCGCCCAGAAAGGACCGCGCGCGGTCCACCATGATCGCCTCCTCCGGCTGGCCAGCCCAGGAGACCCAGCAGAGCTCGTAGAACTTCCTAACCTCCGAGGCCTTGGGGTTCTTGTGAGTGTCCTCCAGCAGGCAAACCACGTGGAAGTTCGTCCCCATACACATGATGCCAAGGAACTCCCAGTTGTTGCCGGCGCTGTCGACGTTCTCGAAGCAGTCCATCGCGAGCAGCACGTTAAACTCGTCGACCCTCGGAAGCTGACTCGGACGTGGGATGCTGGGTCGCTGCACTCGCCGGCAGCTCTCACAGACGAACAGCCTCGCTGCCTTCAGCGCCAGCGCCGTTGCCTTGCCCAGGCGCAACGCCCTGAGCAGCGCTGGCCGCGAGGGGTGCCCGAGGTTCACGTGCACCCTCTCGATCGCCCTCTTGACGGCTCTCGGCAACATCTCCCAACGTCGCTTCCTCTCCCGTGAGGCGTCCCGCTGCTGTGCCGCAGCCGGCCCCTCGGGCAGGTCGCCCCGTTCGTAGCCCGCGAAGTAGAAGACCACCACGTCGTTCTCGAGTAGATGTCGTGGCAACCAGCGCCGTCGTGCTTGCAGTGACTGCTGCGACCAGTCCTCGAAGTCTAGCCTGAAGAGCTGGTCGCCCTTGAGCGTCGTGACCATCCTGAGCGGGGCGTCCGCGGCGTGCAGCTGCGGCTGCGCCGTCTGGAGCCGCTGACCCCCGCGTCTAGCCTTCACCATCTTCAGCGGCTCGCTGATGACTCCTCCCAGCTCCTCCAGGAAGAGGTCCGAGCCCCAGATGATCGTCTCGATATCCTCGCCCATCTTCTCCAGAAACCTCCTATGCCAACTCCGAAACGTGTCCAGCTCAGCGCACAGTTCCACCGTCAGCAGCTCGAACTCGCCGTACTGCGTACGCCGTCCCCGGCGGAAGCCCAGCGGGCGTCCGCCAGGAGGCACGCCGCGCTCGCGGCGAGCAGGCGCTCGGCCGCGCCTGGGCCTCACGGGCACCTCGGCCGGTGCCTCTGGGGCCTCCGCCGCCGCCTCGGCAGGCGGCGCGTCCTCTCCGAGAGGCGGGCCCTCCTGGTGTACCTCCTCTGGCACAGGCTCTCCCCGCGGCGGGCTCCGCGATCGCGGACGCTCGTGAGGGAAAGCATCCTCCACTGGGAAGGCCGCATCCATGACCAGCGAGCTGCGGTAGTCGATCTGCATCTGCTGGAGCACACCGCGACAGAAGGCCTTCGCGAGGCCCACGGGGTAGGCCGCCGCCTGCTGCGCCCGATAGCCACCCGAGTTCCTCCCGAGCAGCTGCTGGTGGGCGCCGGGCGGACAGGCACAGCGCTTGCTCAGGTGGTTCGCCACCGCCGCGCTGTTCGTGAGCCACCCCGTCGGCTTCTTGATCGGCTTGCCCGTGTCCTTGTCGCAGGCTCCGTAGGCACACTGATCTCCGCGCACAAATGCAACACCTTCCAAATCCCACAAGCGTATCAGGATGCCATCATACTCCCAGGAAGTGCTGTCAAAGGCTGCTCTATCAAGAAATACCGTCCTCTCGCATGCACACACCGAGATACCCTCCGAACAAGCAAAAGATAACGGCGGGCACTCCTGCGGACTTCATCCCAGTCGACGAGCTTGTTCATGTTAGTCATCAAAGACCACGGATGACAGGGAAAGGCCAACACTGTGATGTAAGGCCAGTGCAGGTCGAGGATCCTGTAGAGTAAGGCCCGTCCAGGGCCCTTGAGCAAGTCATAGTCGGGAGAGTGGTCCACATCCAGCGGCTGAGACTGCATCCATCCGTACTCCTTTGCACCGTAGCGCATCAGGATGTGCTCCCCACCGAACGGCTCGAACACCACCGTAGTCTGGAAGTCGGCGGTCACGAAACGCTCCGCCTCGAACCTCGGTCGAAGCAGCTCCTCTCGTAGTCGTCGATCCTCCCCACGAAGCTCACGCCAGGTGGACTCGAGCTTCTTCCGAGTCGTCTTGGAGAGGATCCCTGTCGCGTCGGTGGCCAGCACACCGCGATCCTTCGACAGGAAGGCGTGGCCAACCTCCTCCTCGACTCGGATCTCCTCGCCGTCGGACTCCTCGAAGACCGACTCCTTCTGCGCCTGCGCGTAGAAGAACTCCGAGTCCCTATTCTTTGAGATCGCCGTCGCTGGTCCTGAACTCGAAGCTGCTGCCGATCGGTGACCATCATCGTCTCCCCAGTCATCAAGTCGCACTGCCAAGTGACCGCCCACCTTGAGCAGCTGCACGTCCACGGCGAGCGTCTGCAGCTCCATCCGCATCTCCTTCAAGTGGAGCACGGCCCCCAGCGCCTCCTGCGACGCCAGGCTGACCAGGAGCGGGGTGTCGCAATCCTCCATCTCCGTGCTGAAGATCACCCCGCGGCCGCCAAGGGCGACCGGGATCTCGACCACGCGCCCCTCCTGCCTCTTGCCGAAGGCCGAGGAGAAGCTCCTCACGCGTTCCGTCACCGTGATCTCGAGGCCGCGGGGATGCAGGCACCTCTCCTCGAACAGCTCCCGCCAGTGCTTGCCGTGCATACATCTTGTGCAACCGGTGTCGATGAGCGCCACTGGTACTTCAGACGTGTCACTGTCTTCACTCACCATAAACACCATCTCCAAAAATCCTTCCCCGGGTACTGGGCGCACGTGGCGCCCGCTAGGGGCCCCTCTGGGCCCCGGTGTGGAGTGTGCTCAGGCCGAAGACGGCGATGACCGCGCCTCGCGCAGCCTCTGCTCGCCCTCGTTGTAGTTCAGCGTGCCCTTGCAGTCCGGAAATCGGCTGCACCCGAAGAACCAGCCGCCCGTATGATGATTCTGGCGAGCCACGAGAGCCTTGGAGCACTTCGGGCACGGCAACACCTCATCGTCCTTCATCGTCGGGGGGATCGTGCTGAGGCTGTCGCTGACCACGCTCGCGCCGTCTCCGAAGTCGCTGCCCACGAGTTTGAAGGAGCCGAGGTCGGAGCCGAGGTCCGAGCTGACGAGGAAGGCCGAGTCGTACTCGACGTCGTCCAGCACGAAGAGGGTTGCGTCCCTCCGCTTCTTGGCACTGGTGCTGCTCGATGGTCGGGGACTGCTGCCCGAAGCCGAAGGGCTGCTCCATGCTGGGCGCGAAAGCGCCGCTGCTCGTCCACGTGGATCTGCCCGACTCTTCGGCTTCGCCGACGGCCTCGGCCTCTTCGGACCCATCGGGCACTCCGGGTCCCCGGCCCAGTGACCGAGCTTGCCGCACGCCCCGCAGTGCGTGCGCTGGTTGTCCTTCGCGATCTCCGCCTTGCGCTCCTCGAAGGTCAACGTGCCCTCCGCCTTGAAGAAGCCACGCTTCCGCTGGAGGTCCCGAACATTGGCTCGAGCGGTGTCGTAGGCGGCGTACGCGTTGTTGATCGCCTCGTCCTGACTCGCGCCAGCGTCGCTGGCGATGTCCTCCTCGGCGTCACCGTCCTCGTAGGCCTCGTAGACCTCGTCGTCGTAGTCCTCGTCCTGCTCGTCCTCCTCGTTGTCCACGTCGTCCGCCTCGGTGTAGTACACCCTCGTCTGCTTCTTGGACTTGTCCTTGCCGCCCTTGCCTCCGCCCTTCAAGCGTCCGTGAGGATGAGGCTGTGGCGGCCATGAGGTCTTCTCCTGCAGGTGGAGGTCGTGGTAGTTCGTCTTCAGTGTGTTCTCGAAGGCCTTTGTCTCGTACTTGTTGTCCGCCACCATCGTGACCAGTCTCTTCTGGTCGTCCGTCAGCATAGCCCCCTCAAGGAGGAAGTACGCGTAGAGATCGTCGCTGAGCTTCGTCCCCGTGTCCAGCTCTGTCAGCTCCTTGTACTTGTTGTGGAACGTCCTCAGGTACTCGACGATCTCCTGGCCACGACGACGGCGGGACCTCTTGAAGAAGTCGTCGAACTTCTGCTGCTTGCGCACCACCGCTACCTTGTCAAGGCCATCGAGAGCCTCGATGATCTTCTGGTGCGAGCCGTCCTGGGTGAGCGCCGCGATGTTGTCCAGCAGGGGCTCCACCGCCTTCCACGCGCGGCCCGTGAGGCCCCGCGTCAGGCGCAAGCCCAGGTTCGCCCGCTTCTCCTTGCCAGCCTCCGTCGATCTCGACTGTGTGCTGTACTCTATCATCACCCTCATCCTGTATTCTCGTAGAAGAGCTATGTTCTCGCCGTCCCAGTGCGGGATGCCCTCTTTGTCGACGAAGAGTTCCTCTGCGGACTCGTCCGTCATGCGGGCCATTCTCTCCGCCGTAGATCGTAAACCCAGCTCCGCGACCAGTTTGAACTCCGTTCTGCTGCCCTGCTGCAGTCCAGAGTGAGCGCAGCCCCTTTTGCTCCGACCAGCGTGCCGGCAGGCTCACGAGTCTCGGGCGCGGGCCGCCCGAGAGGCAGTAAAACCTGGGGCCCCAGGCTTGGGCCCACAGTGGTTGCGGGAGCACGGGAGAGGGGCAGAGGGAGAGCAAAGAGGAAAGGGATAGGCGGGTTGAGGCGAGCCTGGAAATCTTCACACTATCTATTCATCGATATCACTATCGCTGTCATTATCGATCTCACTATCGGTTCCGCTATCGATCTCACTATAACTGGTCGATATCATTGTCGGTCTCACTATCGATCTTTTTTAGTCTTACTATCGACCGCTTTATCTCACTATCGGTCTCAGTATCTGTTTATCGATCTGCATCGATCTCACTATTGATCTCAGCATCGGTCACTCTGTAAATTTGTTAGTCTCACTATTCATCGGTTTCACGATCGATCCCACATTCGATCCACGATTTATCCATCTGTCAAACTGTCAATCGGTCTCACTATCCATCGATGTAACAATCCATCTATCGATCGATCTCACGGGACAATTATGAGGACAACCATCGGGACACCATCGAAGTTGCATCGGAACGGGACACTATCGGGACACCATGTGGACACCATCGGGGCACCATGCGGACACCATCGGGACTCCATCGGGACACTCCCAAGCCACCGCCAGCCAACCCGGCGGGACACCCCCGAGGCACCGCCGGCCAAAGGGGGGAGCAACATTCGGCCCGGTTTCGCCCTAGCAACGGCGAGTTCATTCCGGACGCCCGCTCACGCAGTTTCTCCTCCCTCGCCCGTTCACACTACACGAAACCGAAACTGATTTCACGGTGGGGGGTCTCCGTTTCATTTCTGTCTCACCCTCCAGCTTCTGACACGCCAGGCATCAGAGATCCCCGATATGGCAAATACCGACGTTGTTTCTTCCCTGACATGTTAATGATTTCATCGTTGCTTTGTTCTCGTTGTTTGAGCGGTCTCGCACATCGCCGTGCGCTTCAGCTGCGTCGAGTTCGTCGGCCTATGCGCTGTGGTTCTGAGTTGTAAGTTCGAGCCTTTGATCGCCATGCCGAGAGCTCGCGAATGCAAGTCTGATGAGTGGTGGCATCCAAGCACCTCACCACTGCAGTCAGCAGGGCGACATACAATCACACAGGCTGCAGTCAACGTGGCGACAGTACGTGTGGCATCAGCAGGCATCATCATTGCACAAGTGCAGCACACATTTGCAATTACGGTGGCGACACACTCGCACACGTCAGGGTAGCAGGCGCACGGCGACATCATATCAAATTTTAACAAGCTGCCTCCTGCTGCTTCTTTGCCCCGCCCCATCCTCCTGCCCTTTTCCCCCTCGCCGTTTTCTCAGTTGCTACTGCTCCTCTTGATCCCAGCCCAAGGCATTCATCGTGGACACTTTGGATCGAAAGCGCGAGTCAGGTTTCGACAGAAACACCGGTCAAATATGGAAGCCGCGCAATCCCTGGTCTTGATTTTGGAGGAGGAGGAGGAGGAAGTCTCACAATATCGAACAGGTTTCGAGTTTGGAGCAGGCGAACATGACAGCAAGATGACACGTACCAATCGGGACGCTGTCATCTGCCTCAATTTTTGAGCCACGGCCATGACGTTCTGAGTGCGTATGTGCAGCGGGTGATCTCAACTCGGGATGCCCCAATTGCCAAATTTTCGAGCAATCGAGCTTTGAGCTCAAAGTGCGGGCTCGTGCCCGATAATGACCATCGACTGCGTGGCCCGCCTCATCTCCAATAAAATGGGTCCGGGGTCCCGGGCTAGCAACTAGACTTACTTCTGTGCAAGAACGGCTGCCGACATGTCTCTTGCCTCCGACTCGTTCATGTCTCCCACCGCATCTTCAGTTCTGTGTCTTTCTGTAAGACGCGACGTGCACTCTTGCTCTCGATTGATTGGCGGAGAAAAAGGAGAGATCTTCGCTTGCCCTCTCGCCATGCTGGTCATAAATGTGGCCGGATCATCACGTATTGGAGGTTGGGGGGGGTGTAGCCGAAGTGAAGCGGAGGTTCCCAAGAGGGAAATCGGTTTCGGGTTCGGTGCGTGCGGGCGTGGCGAGCCAGCGCAAGTGCTTGGCCTAGCTAAGGCCCAGGTCACGCCAACACGAGTCGCGGTCGTGCTTCGTGGTGCGCCCGCGGTTGTGCCACGGTTGTCCCGCGGATGTCCCGTGGTTGTTTTGTGGTTGTCGCGTCGCGTGCCTGGGAGTTTTCCCGCGGTTCTTTTGTAGTTGGGGTTGTCCCGCGGTTGTCCCGTGGTTGCCCCGTGATTGTCTAGTGGTTGTCCCATGGTTGGTCCGTGGTTGTCTCGTGGCTGTCCGGTGGTTGTCCGTGGTTGTCCTGTGGTCGTCCCGTGGCCCCGTGGTTGCCCCGTTACCGATGGAGAGGAAGTAATATTCGTAGATGCGCAGAAGGGGGGATCAACAGACATGGAGACAGTGAGACCGATTTCACAGTGTGACCAATCGATATTTGGATAGGTGAAACTATCGTGCGGCCATGGGCAGGGATAGCGACAGATACATGTACAGATAGATACATGTCAGTATGTGCGAAGACAGGTAGATACCGGCATCGTCACACACTCACAGTCGCATACATACACATATCTATACGTTTCATGGTACACTGTATCATCATATATATGTATATGCATGTGTGTATGTGTATTACATGTTTAATGGTAGTATACATGTGTGCAACATTGTATCACGGTATGACGCAATCCACTGTACCATACATGTTTAGTATGTGCTGTAACATACTTAGTATTTCAATATGATACAGATCTCTACAGACGCGCTAGTATGGCTTATCGAATTATAGGACGTTTTCCATGACGTATCCTTTTTGATGATGCTGGTATACAGTATTTGAATTTATCGACTGGTATATTGTTCAATGCTATCTTGTTTTCCCAATCATCCCGTGGTGTCGGGTCCTCGTTTTGAAGAGAGAGCGCCCCGTGCCACGCCCGAGCTGTAGTTGTAGTGGACCCCGCACGTTTAGGCGGGGACTCCAGCCTCTCCCGACTTCCCCCTCCTCCCCCGTCCTCGGTGACGTCGTCGATGCGTTGTCGTCCTCGTCTCTCATCCTCCTCCTCTGCCTTTGATGGCGCAATGTATCGTTCAATCTCCATAGGACTCGGGGCCGACCTGGGGCCCAGTAAGTTGTTCCTCGCGTTGCGTTGTGCTTTGATATGTTGTGTCTGTGTTGTGCCATTTCGTTCCTGGAGCCCGCCTCTGAGAATTGAGGCCTCCCAGTTTAGTTTTGTTGAGTGCGTGGCGTGGCCCAACCCCAGGAATATCTCCGTTCTGGGCTAGTTGGGGCGCGCCAGGCTCCCCCCCACAGGTCAGACTCGCGTACCTGATGAGCTCTGCCGCCGCCGCCTCGTCCTCCTCCCTCCCCCCCTCTTTGCCTCTGCCCTCCGCATGTTTCTGTTTCGGCACACCCCTCACATGTGTCGTGGCCCCATAAGGAGCTCCACCGAAGGCCGCACTGGCTGCGCTCGCATGACACCACCGCATCCATGTCAGCACGCCCCTCGCACGTTTCCAAGCCCCACTGGGAGCTCTGCCGAAGACCCCAGTGGCTGCGCACGCATGGCGCTACCGCCCCATGTGGGCACACCCTCACACATAGCGTTGCCCCAGAGGGACCTGCACCGAGGGCCCCAGCGGCTGCGCCCGATGACACTACCGCGCCCATGTCGGCGCACCCCCCACACGTGTCGTGGCCCCTTTATGGAGCTCCACCGATGGCCCCAGTGGCTGCGCTCGCATGACAGTGCCGAACTCATTTCGGCACACCCCTCACACGTTTCGTGGCCCCATAGGGAGCTCCACCGAGGGCCCCAGCGGCTGCGTTCAAATGGCACCACCGCGCCCAATCGGGGGCACCCCTCACATTCCTCGTGGCCCCAGAGGGAGCTCCACCGAGGGGCTTCAGTGGCTGCGCTCGCATGGCACCACCGCGCCCATGTCAGCGCACCCTCACACGCTTCGTGGCCCCATGGGAAAATTCCACCGATGGCCCCAGTGGCTGCGCTCGCATGGCACCACCGCGCCCATTCCGGCGCACCCCTCACACGTTTCGTGGCTCCATCGGGAGCTCCACCGAGGGCCCCAGCGGCTGCGTTCGAATGGCACCACCGCGCCCAATCGGGGCACCCCTCACATTCCTCGTGGCCCCAGAGGGAGCTCCACCGAGGGGCTTCAGTGGCTGCGCTCGCATGGCACCACCGCGCCCATGTCAGCACACCCATCGCACGTTTCCTGGCCCCACTGGGAGCTCTACCGAAGGCCCCAGTGGCTTCGCTCGCATGGCACCACGGCATTCATGTTCCACACACCGTTCACACGTTTCGTGACCCCATAGGGAGCTCCACCAAGGGCCCCATTGGCTGCGCTCGCATGGCACCACCGTGCCCATTTCGGCACACCCTTCACACGTTTCGTGGTCCCTTTTGGAGCTCCACCGAGGGTTCCAGTGGCTGCGCTCGCTTGGCATCATTCGGCTCCCCTCACGCGTTTCGTGGCCCCATATGGGACCTCCACCGAAGGCCCCAGTGGCTGCTCTCGCATGGCGCTACCGCCCCATGTGGGCACACCCTCACACGTTGCGTGGCTCCAGAGGGAGCTGCACCGAGGGCCCCAGCGGCTGCGCCCGCATGGCACCATCGCACCCCTTTCGGCACACACACACACACACACCTCACACGTTTCTTGGCCCCGTAGAGAGCTCCACCGAACACGATATTCGCAATTGAATTATGGGCAACTGAATGTGGTTTGGTCGCTCGCCGGTTTAATTCTCAGATTGTGGCACATACCTCAGTGTTCTATACAACGTGATATTGAATCCTATCATCTTCGGCGGTCGCATTGTGGAGTATTGGTGTTGTACAGTTTCGCATCATCATATATCGGTTTCCTGAAGCACACGAATGTAACCCATGATAGAGACATTAGCTGGCAATGCCATACATTCTGTTCACATGCGTCTATTCGAATTCATATTCTCCCGCATCATTATGTATTCTACTTTAACCTCATACACCGTTTTATAGTCCATACATTTGTATATGTTACACTGCCGACTCCCTTTCCCTGCTAAAATATAGTTTCATGCAGCATCGAACTAGGTTATGTTGCTTTATAGACAATCATGCGATGCTATCACTTTTTCCGTGTGTTTCGAAGACGCTTGCGGCAAATCTCCGCCGCACCTTGCCTTTTGGAACCACAAATGTTGTCGAACCGTTGTGGCCAGAGCTCTGCCAAACTATCGGACCACGTGTTCCCCCAGCCGTTGTGGAAACCCTTCGGGGATCACGCGGGGGAGAACGGAGAAGCGGAGGAGACTGAGGAACAGTAAAGGAGGAGAAGGAGGAGAAGGAAGAGATAGAGGAGGGCAGAAGGATGAGGACGAAGAGGAGGCGGAGAAGGCTGAAGGTGATGATGATGATGATGATGATGATGAGGAGGAGGAGGAGGAGGAGGAGGAGGAGGAGGAGGACTCGTGGGGCTTCCCGGGAGCTTCCTGCGGGCCTTTTTGAGGCTCCGTCTGACGTTGTGGGAAGCCGTCTTGGATGCCTCTCTGAACCGACTGTGGGCTTTCGTGAGACGCTTCAGGGCCAGCTTGGATGCCATCTTAGGCATATTGGAGGCCCCCTCGGACCGTATTCAGCCCTCTTGGGGCCGTCTTTGGGGCTTTTGGGGCCGTGCTGGGGTCATCTTGGAGGCCTTTGGAGCCATCTTGGGGCGATCTTGGGAGCCTCTTGGCGTCGGAAGGTCGAACAGAAGCAAAGGGCAACATCCCTCGTCGTCCTCCTCGTTGTCCTCGTCATTATCGTCGTTGTCGTTGCCCTCGTCGTCGTCGTCATGATTATCGTCGTCGTTCTCTTCGGCGTCGTCGTCGTCGTAGTCTCCGAATTCCTCGACAGGCCTGTAGACGCCTTCAGAGGCCTCCAGAGATCTCTCGAGGCCGACAATACATGATGTTGGCCTCTTCGGGCCCTCCTGGAGGACCTATTGGAGGCCTCTTGGGCCGTCTTGGAGGCCTCATGGGGGCCTCTGGGCCGTCTTGGAGGCTTCTTGAGCGGACATCGGCGCATCTTAGACCCTCTTGGGCCGTCTAAGAGGCCATCTTGGAACAGTTTGGGCCGTCTTGGAGGCCATCTTGGGCTTCTTGGAGGCCTCTTGGGCCGTCTTGAGGCCCTCTTTCGGCCGTCTCGGAGGCTCAGGGCATCACGGCATCACCTTGATGGCCTTTGGGGCCATCTTGGGGCGATCTTGGGGGCCTCTTGGGCCGTGTTTGGGCTGTCGGAAGGCCAGAACAAAGCAAAGTGCAGCATCTTTCAATCAACCCTAATCAATAATTTTGGGCCTCGTCGGGCCGTCCTGGAGGACCTCTTGGAGGCCTCTTGAGCCGTCTTGGAGGCCTCATAGAGGCCTCCTGGGCAGTCTTCCGCCATCTTGAGGCCTTCTTGGGCCGTCTTGGAGGCTTCTTGGGAAAACTTGGAGGCATTTGGGCCGTCTTAGAGGCCATCTTAGACAATTTTGGGCGAACTTGAGGACCATCTTGGCCGCCTTGGAGGCCATCATGGGCCATCGTGGAGCCATCTGGAGCGGGACAAATTTTGCGACCACCTCGCCCGGAGCTTTCCAGTTGGCCTGCGCGCTGGGCCGAAGCCCCCAGGGGGCGTTCTAAACTATCCAAACGCCGAGTGCAATCTGGCACGCCAGGCACCCTTCTGGCAAGCCAACAGGGGGCACCGGATGACAGAAAGCGCGCGCTGCGTCGCGATCCAGTAGTTGGGAGAAATAATACAGGGGTGGGTGCGTGGCAAACCCGGAATCGGATCTAATGCCGCAAGACGGGCCAACAGAGCCCCAAAATGACCCCCA